TCATATTATCATAGGTAAATGAGCCAGAGATCCTGTCGTGGGATAAGTAGAATAAAACATGGGGAAATACTCGACATTGGACGACCCAAGATGTAATCCAAACTTATACATATGACATACGTGCCTATAAGGCCAAAATATTCACTTGTACAGTGAACATAGGCCGACAAGGTCATACAATATTTCATATTTATTACATATGTCTACAAGCCTCTAAGAGTACATAAATGTCATAAAGGTCGGGACAGGGCCCCGCCATACTAATCAATACCTATCCTAATCATACGGACCAGATAAGCAACTCCGATGCAATTGGAGCGCACAACACCATCCACTGTGATGATAGCCTACTTGGAGGACTCTCATCCTGTCTATCGGGACCTGCGGGTATGAAATGCAGCGTCCCCAGGCAAAAGAGATGTTAGTACAAATAATATACCGAGTATGTAAGGAATGAGAATCAATAAACGATAGACATGAGAGAAACATGGAGTAAAAGACTCAACATATATATCTGAATAGCTCTGTGAATCTTTTAATATTATAATATCATGCATATGCGTATAAACGTCATACCATGCATGGGTATATGCGTTCATAACATCATCAAGCCTCTGAGGGCATCCCATCATATCATCTCGGCCACTGTGGGCAAATCATCAACGTATAACAGCTGATCAGGTGGTGGTGCGTATATAACGTCGTAACCTTTTCCCATATCTCATAGACATATATACGCGTATATAACGTCATCTGGTCATGGGTCAATGTACATGTTTAAATGAATGCAATGCATGAGAAGTACGCCAATAAAATCTCTCGGAATGTCATAAGACTATTATGCCTTTGATTAATATCATGAAGTAAACTTTTTCAACTTACATATTTTTTTGAGACCCATGAACAGATGATAAAATAATAGGACACATGGAAATTCAAGAATATATGCACCTCTAATACTTTTAAGAGTAGAGTCATTTATGAAAGTTGTGTATTTTCTCGTTTCGGTTTTATCGTATGGATCATGCCAAAAAGAAAGAAGGGATAGCCTTAACATACCTGAACCGATTCTCTTGATCCCTCTAACACACGTTGATTGCGACAAAACACGTAACGTCGGATCGGAGTAAAGAAAAATCCGTATGATATTCTTGAGAAAGGTTGCACCGTACTCCCCTTAGAATCGTAAAATCCCGTACGTAGTATAATTTCGGATAAAGCAATTTGTTGAAGCAAAATCACGTAGATCAAATCCTTGTAAAGATTTCATGTGAATTCCATACGTTAGTTTCCATACGTTAAGAATCCTTGTGAAATCCATACGTTAGTTTGCTAGACTAATTAGTTTAATGGTCTAATTCCATACATTATGTTACTACTAAAGAAGCCAAATTAAGATATTTACCAAAGAACCTTTCACGTGTAAGCAAGCCTTGTTGTATCTTATGACTCATCATTCTTAAGTTTAATGCCAAGTGGCAGCCCCAACAAGGATCCTTACCCACTTAATTATAATTATCCCCATCATTAACTAATTATCCACATAATTAAGAATTATCTCAAATTACTTAAAATACTACTCACTTTTAGCACATCTTATACACCTTACTATCATGGTCATGTGGTACCTTGTATGGCACTAGTCCATAAATACTAGGCATTTTAGCTCGGGCAGTATTTTATCCCAACATGTCAAACTTTGACAAAAATTTACTTTCTTTGATTTGCTTACCCTCTCGCCTTCACGAATTTACTCATCACCTGTTTGAAATGGCATAATGCTTATAATCTCAAAATAATCTCATTTCTGAACTTACGTCGGTTAACTTATGACGAAACTTCAATGTATAAAACGCAGGATATAATATGTTGTCAGAAATTTTCAGCTTAGTATAAATAGATCTTTTTGATATTTTTAGGGTATGTTATGTTTTGTATGAGCACGTGAGACGACTGGGTTTTCTGTTTTGGGAAATTTTGTACTAGATTCATCTCTTAACATTAGATTTTCATTCCATAAATTAATGTTATGAATTTTATCTTCATTTCATCTTTAATTTTTGTTATTTCCATGAGTAGCTAAACTCATAGCTAGGGTTGTGACACAACCCTAGTGTGGATATTTAATGGGCATTTGATTTTAGGGCTTGAATGTGAATGGGTTAGTGATATTTAGCCTAGTTCTTGCTAGAACTATAGAATTAATGGTTGCAAACATTGATTCATGCCTTTATGACTTAATCTCTGCTTGAGAAAGAGGGACTAAGTCTAGGACAACTAGGCTAACAAGGAATTGGGTGAACTCAAAAAATTGATAGCCCCAATTAAAGGGTTAAACTTAGAGATAGTAATACCCGACTTGAGATAATATCACTTGATTTGTATGAATACCCATTTGGACTTGAGAAAGCCAAATTGGGCAAAATCACTCAAACTACCGAGAGGTAAGGTTAAGGGGGAGGTCTTTTTCTATTTTCACGGGAACTTCTCCTTTTTGTTAGAGTGAGTACCTAGGTGTGATGACTATATTACGATCCCAACTAATCAAACTTGCCCTAGATTTTTGCTACCCGTTAGATATCCACCTAGGTAGAAGTCACGCCCCTAGTCTCTTTAAACACTTAATAAACAACAACAAAAATTATTGTCCTTAGTTTTAATCATTGCAATCTTTAGAGTAAAGTTAGAAGTAGAAATCAAACCCAAACTTGTGGAAGTATAATTAGACTCAAAGCCCGCATCTAGCTTAGATATAAACCTAATTTCAAATATTAACTCCTCGTGGATTCGATCCCGACCTAGTTGGGTTAAAACTGCATCGACCACCCTCGTTACTCAATAGTAGTGTAAGTTTGGACCCGATCAGTGGGTGTGACTCCTATAAAAGACAAGATGCATGAATCAAGGCTTAGATGGTTCGGACATGTGCGAAGGAGAAGCTCTGATGCCCCGGTAAAAAGGTGTGAGCGATTGGCCTTGGCGGGTACGAGAAGAGGTAGAGGGCTGCCTAAGAATTATTGAGGAGATGTGGTCAGGCAGGACATGCGTAGCTTCAGATTTCTGAGGACATGGCCCTTGATAGGAAGGTGTGGAGGCTGAGCATTAGGGTTGTAGGTTAGGAGGTAGCTGAACATTTTTCTACTTTGTACCAGGTATGTGGCTAGTCTGATAGGGTTTGTCTTAGACTCCCAGCGGTTAATATTGTGTTCACACTATTCTTCCATTTTTCAAAGCACCCGGGCCTTCTTTACTGGTTATTGTTATTGCGTTTCATCTATTATCTGGTTCTTATGATGCTATTATTATTTCTATGGTTTCTGTTGATGGTACTGATATATTGTCTCTTTTCCTCTTTTTGTTATCTTGATCCAAGGTTCTATCGGAAACAACCTCTCTACTTCATCGGGGTAGGAGTAGTACACACTACTCTCCTCATATCTTGCACCCGTGGAATTTTACTGGATTGTTGTTGTTGTATTTTACAGTTATGATTTTGAACTTTGAAGGGCCAAACCAATAAGTTAGGTAGTTGAAATGAAAAGCTACCTAATCAAAAAAATTTGGATTTGACAATTGTAAATTTGTGATCTAGTTAGGCATGCTTTCATCTTTGCTTAAACTAAACGCCAAAGGGATGGATAAATGTAGGAAAAAAGAAAAAGAAAAAGACGAAATGTGTAACAATTAATGTGATCTACTCACCTATTGGAATTGATAGTGAATTTACCTATATCTATATCTAAAATCACTAACCCCTAGCTACTTGTATTCTTATTTTCTTCCCAAATTCATAGCCTGTTTCATAAAGAATTCATAAATTACATATTACCACTAATTATTTATATCCTACAAGTGCAATAAGTCGTCGTTCTAGTTGGACAGAATTTATGACTTTATTTATGATTGCCGGAAAATTAGCTGGACTTGGTACCAGAAATCCTAAGTTTGAATTAATCAGAATTTATCTCATGGTTTCCTTGACGAGTTATTTCGGTGAACTTTCTTGATTTTAGAAGTAATGACCATAAAGTTTCAATTCTGAATTCAAATCTTATCACAGTTCATTGTCAAAATGAATTTTCACGCATTCGTCTTATTAAAACAAAGAGTAAAACTTGCATGCAAAGGAATTCTATGATTTATGTGGTGATACTAATATTGTCTTCCTTTTGTCTTTTTGTTTTCTTGAGCCGAGGGTCTTTCGGAAACAACCTCTCGATCTACTCCTTCGGGGTAGGGGTAAGGTCTGCGTATACACTACCCTCCCCAAACCCCACTAATAAAATTTTACTGGGTTGTTGTTGGTGACAGCATGTAAGGGCAATTACCGCCTAAATGCCTGAAGTTCATTATATTTAATGACATATTAAGCCTAGATTCTTTTTATTTTATTTTATATATAATGATAGTGTCCGAGCCAGCTTATGCGCACTTCGACCACTACAAGAGAAGTGATTATTAGCGATGAAAAATCCAGTCGTTAAAAGCCCAAATATGGTCGCTATAGGTCACTAACGACCGGGCAAAAACTGGTCGTCACTGGTCACTAAATGCGTCGTCGTTAAAAGTTAACAACCGGATTGGAGTTCTGTCATTAAATATTCTTTAGCGACGAAATATTTTATGGTCGTTATACTTATTCTTTTGTGACCGAATTTTCCCCTCTTTGATTTGTCATCCGGTCGTTAAAGCTCTTTAAAAACAACAACAAATTCGATTACTATAATTACTTTTAACGACTGGAGTTCCCTTTCGTTAATTTTCTGTTACTTTTAACGATAATATTTTTAACGACTAATTTTTTTTCCGCTAATACCTGTTTAACAATTTGACAATCCAATCATTAAATAGTTGTAAAGACCATATTTTCCTTCACTTATATGAAATTTTAATAAATGCAATTAGATAATTCATAAATTTTTCCATGGGTTTGCAATAATATTCATTGTTCCATATACTTATACATATACATCAGAAAAAATAATAAATAACCACATGTATTCACATAAAATTAATCTGTCAATTAGAAAGAACTATAAAACAACACATTACTACAATATATGCACATCTAAACTGTATGACTTTCTCACTATCAAATCCTAAAAGACAGAAAACGAAATTATAATATATGTACAATGACAACATCCCTACACAACCGCCAAGAGAGTTATACGATCTAATATGCATCAACTTGCTTTGTACTTTCTTCAATGACATCCTCATACTTCAAATTTTTTATCTGTTAAAAGAACAAGCTCATGTCAGTTTAGTAAAAACTTCTCTAACCATTTTATTTAAAAAAAATAAATGAATAAATTTAATCATCGTGTTAATTAAACAATTGGAGTAAGTAAATCAAACATGGCTATTATAAATCTAAAGCATAAGACACAAATTTTTCTGGAATTCAAATAACCTTTATTAAAAAGTTTCAAACATGGTGAAAGTGAAAGCTAATAATACTAAATGTATAAGCATAGGGCATAACTGTGCAAAAAGTGAATGAGCATGACAAGAACAGACAGTTTGTCCAACAACAAAGGAGAAGACCAAGAAGAGTTGTGCAAGAATGGAGATCAAAAGAAGTGAATGTTGAACAGGGTGATATTTTAACTACAAGTGAATTAATACAACAACATCAGCCAGTGAAGCAAAGTCAAGAACATGATAGGGAAAACTATCACTAAAGATGCAACAAATCAGAAACATATACAGAGAGGACAGCAAGGGAAAGGGACAAATGAAGCCAACCCACAACATTCCTAAGAGGGAAGGATGTGATCACTGAACCAACTAGGAGTGCATAGTTTTGAGGCTTTATAAATAGCGGAACATGTAATTGAGAATACAAAACCACCAAATCATGGTGGGGGATCCTCTTAATAAATGACTTGGGTGATTTAGAACATAAGGGGAATCAATAAAAGATATAAACAAAAAGGGTTAAAAACAACAACAATTAAGAGACAAATTTCTAAAAACAGAAATTATTAGAAGCAGGCAAAACAAATCAGCACACATAATTACAACAATACAACAATAACAACCCAATAAAATCTCACAAGTGGGGTATGGGAGGGTAGAAAGTATGCAGACCTTACCCCTACCCCGGAGGGATAGAGAGGTTGTTTCCAAGAAACCCTCGGCTCAATACGAAAATAGACAATAGAATCTATGACAACAACAAAAATCAGAAAGATAATATAAGCATTGTAGGAAACAGAAAATGGATGAAATTCACTATATTCTAGTGTAAAACATTTTTTGCGTTATCAGTTTAAGCTGTGATAGCAAATACAACCATTTTTAGCAGATCACCATTTAATAATTATCATACAATTTTGTTGTAATTATCTTACAAGTGACCCGATTGTGTAAATCTTTTTATACCGCCAGTACATTTTAAGCTCCTTCCTTTATTCTCTTGTCACTTCTCCAAAAATCTTGAAAGAGCTCTTCTGTTACTATCGACTGCATATCTTCATCAAATTTACATTTTTGTCCTTATTGTTAACCTTTAGACAGAGAGATAACCCACGAAAGCGAAAAAGATATACTAACCAAATAAGAGGCTGAGTTTCTTATTTTTGTTTATTGATGCAAATCTGTTCACCATCAAGTTAATTTCGAGTGAGGACCTACTCTTGTTTTCATATTTTTTACTAATGTTTATCATCTTCTTATTCATAAGAGTTCGTATAGTATTATAACACTAACGACATTCATATCATCACACGAGCAATATAGACTAATAATCACTATTGCGAGTGAACTTTACAAATGATAAGAGCTAATGTACTGTAAAAAGTTTTCCAACTTTAAAATTAACTAATGGTAACTGAACAAAAAAAGGTAATGTACCGTAATAAGAAGCGATTGGTATGACTGGTGTAAAAGGGTGTTACATTATCATAATATAAGAATCAAAGAAAGTGAGGTTCCAATGATCAAAGCGAATGGACGGTTGATATCCATATAGATAGTCATGAATATCTTAATAATTGAAGTAAAACAAAATACGGAAATTTGTGCTCTCCTATTTTATGAAATTATGCACCAGTTCAAACCAAGTAATACAGAAATCAAACATAACTTCACCTATTCAATATGGGAAAGCCATGATACCAATTATAGTTAAATATATGTATTCACAAGTAAAGGTGCAAATGGCTGGCGACATTTTCTCCAGTTAATCCAGGGACTTTCCTTTGATCAAAAATCTTTTTTGGTATCAGCACGCATAATACATTGAGATAAAAATATCAAACAAGCTAATTCATGAAATTTATGTCATCTTTTTCCTACTACTATTGTGTTTGTTTGTATCTTGAATGACACTATCTAATGCTGCTTAATATTAATAAAGAGTTGAAAAGAAAAATAAAAAAGGTTGCAACTCCATATGGTAGAGACACTACCATTTCTTTTTGTACCTACAAGCACTTGCTACTACTTTTTGTATATTACTAATAAAACTATGTGCTAAAGCATATATGAAAGGGACACTTCGAAGAACAAAATAGATATCTCTGTAGAAATCCAGGAACGGAGGTATCTGATTAGTTGACTGCTATCCAGTAATATGCCAGTGAACTAGAATTCTCTAAACACTTGAAATAAATTTATTGTCTATGCATAAAAATTTGTGAAAGTTTTATAGCACATTCTTGAGTATAGAAAAATACCAAAATTAAATAAAATATTATATAATCTTGTCGATTTAACATAAAAGAAAAGGGAAAACGTTAGCGAAGGAAAAATAAGTTCTATAAGTGATCGAAAAATAAGAGATTGAGAAATATATAAGCCTTTCATAGTGAAACAGGATGGTGATCAACCAGTTCGTGCACAACAATTATTTATTTATTTCATCCTTCAACAAAAAAGAGCGAGGGACCTGATTTGTTGACATGAAAAATAGAAGAAAGTTCTGCTTATTCATTTGATTAAGAAATACTCATCATATCATAGTGGAACTATAATTTGCTTAAATAAAGACATGACAATAGAAAGTGACAAGGTGGATAAATAAATGAATATGACATGTGATAATTGTAACAAGTTGGTAAAAGTTTACTAACCTTTCACATGCATGTATCTGGTTCAATTGAAGATGGTGTTGATGAAGACTGACCAGAGTATGTGCTTGAAAGTTGTGCAACTGTACTCTCCAAGTTATCCAGACGTGTTTTTAGTGATAAATTTTCTTTTCGAGTTGCATTCAGCTCATCCAACAGTGCAGCCTTAGAGGAATTACCACCTTTTAACTCTTTAGCGGTTATTCCACCCCCAAATCCAACAACATTGCTCTTGCATTGAGGTCCAAATCACCTTTCTACAACCTCAATATTTGTAAGAGACGGCTCGGATTGTACCAGTTCTTGAATTTCGGCTAAAAAAATATAATCTTTGAAATAATGTAATACTTTGATAAAAGAAAGGGTGTAAAATGAAATTTATCAATCAACATACATATTTTTCATTGGTTTTAGGTTCGACAAGCTTATCGTCCTTCTTATGAGTCTCAAAGAAAATAGTCGTCATATCTGGTGGATTACCATTTTTGCCTCCCTTCGCATTTAAATAAACAAGTCAAACAATTCTTTTAAACAAAGAGGGGGTTTCTTAATACAATAGCAAAATTTACTTACCAGCTTGTAAATAATCTCTCTGATAGGCTTGCTGCCCGTAGGATGAGGCATAATCAACTTAGACCTATTCACTGAGTTTCTCATACTTCTTTCCTATAACAACAACAGAAAATAGAAGGTGTGGTCTGCCGCTTAAAAATTAAGATGCTATAAATATTTATGAAGCTATACCTTAAACTTTTCAGATAAGAAGTGCTCCTTGACCAACCATTCTCAATCACTCTTCTCGACTCCCTCTGGCACATCCTTTAGAACGTCGCACAATGGCTTAGACTTCACAATCAAGTGCAGTGATCCTCTCCAATTGTTCCATAACCTTCTCATATGTTTCAAGACATTATCTCTTTGACTATTTATGTCAGAACTATCAAATTTGTCCTATAATATTTAAAAATATCATCAAACATGAAACTCAAAAGTTTGAGATAAACAAAGAAGAAAAATTAATCCAACAATATGAAATTAAATATTTGAGAGTTACTAGTGACAAATTAATTTATCTCTTAAGATGACGTGATTATTAAATGCGAAAACACGATCGACATCATAATTCGATCTTATATGAACATTCCAAAACAACATGAGAGAAGAGCAGATTCATCGATATGATTCATAATATACATTCAGCAAACAAAATGCTCTACTATAAGCCTCAACAGGTCATGTCATCTTGTTTTGCAAATTGAACACTTACTTTTGACTTTGAAATATCAACTTCTCAAGTTGAACTATTTGGTAAAGTCCATCTACAGCTAACGGTCAAATATGTTATGTTCAGCTAACTACATGCTTAAAGACATATGTGCTTTATTAGCTTTTGGGGATTAATATATGGCTGTAATTGCTTTCTAGTGCTGTATAACTTGTTCATGGTCTTTTTGCAGTTGGAAGAAGGGCAAGTGAAAATGTAATCAAGACTGGAAGAGGAGGAGGAAGCCAAGGCAGCTCTAATGAGCAGGATATAGAGGCGAACTAAATTGATCCTTGTTTCTTCAAAGAATTCAATCCTTGGGTATTTGGGTGATGTTGCCGGGCCTCAGAAGCATTCATGTGCCGAACATCTGAGTCAACAAGCAACCAAAGAAGACTGATTCACCTAATGGGATGTAACCACAACACTCTCGTAGTGCTGATTTTTTTATATCTTTAATACTTTATACCATTTCAAAAAAAGTTTCTAGTTCCTATTACATAGATACTTTTCTTCTAAAAGTGTATCAGTACTCATTAACATAACGAATGACAAGATTTGATGATTTTTTTGTACTGAAAAAAGGATATTATTGTCTTTCTAGGGGGAAACATTTCTTACTACCTTTGATGATGAGAAAAAATGCAATAAAGAGCATAGGAAAAAATACTGCTAAGAAATGAATATTTTTCTCAGTTTATGATGCAGAAGAAATAGGATATTGGGGTTCTTTAGGAAAGCACAATAAACTATATGTTTCTACTTATTTAATTCTCTTTTTGAATTCCTATAAACCAAAAAAAAATAAGAACTCGACAGATGTAATGATGTAAAGTCACTAGTATTTTATTTTTATTTGTGAACAAAGAAAAGGAGAATGCAAAACAACAAGATAATACTTTAAATTCTTACAGTCGCAGCTTCCCACATATGGTCCAGCTTATATTCTTCAATGTTCGCCCATGAGTGTACGCGCAGTAGGCACATATTACGGTCACGAACTAATATACCTAAGTGTATCACAAATGAGGTTGAATGCTTCCCAACAACTCGATTGTTGTAGAAAGTGACGCTCAACTTTTTTCCAACTTTGAGTCCTAGAACATTTTTACACTTGTTCTTTCCTCTCACTTTTTTTGCCTTTTCAGATACGCATGGACCTGATAATTTTAAATTTAAGTCAAACAGTAAAAAAGTAGCTAGTGGCATTGCAATAACAACAAAAAGATATTACAACTTGAAACAGTGAAATACGTATTTCGTTTCTCTGAGTGTTTGCATCACTTCAACTTCTTGCGGGAGGGAAACATCATCTTCTAGTGGATCAAAACCAGGAGGTGCAAGACTCTTATTCTGAGCTAGTTCGTTCAGATAAGAAGCTGGTGCATTACGATTTTTACTTTTGCCAATCGGGAGTCTCTGTTCAGCGTTTACTCTTACCGAACCCAAAGTTCTGAAGCTTTGCCCTTGTCCCCTTGCTAAGGCGCCAGGTGCAACAAATGAATGCTTAACAGTCTTTGAAGTTGATTCCATTTCAAACTTATGAGATTTTGATGGATTCATCTCAACCTAATACAACAAAAGAAAGTAGAGTGTTGTTAAGCTAACTTGATAAGAAAAAATAGTTCAGCAATTTGTCAATAAGAAAAGGGAAGCCAACTAGCACTTTGACTCTTTTTGAGGCATGGGAGTGCATTACAACCTAAATGTATTAACAAGAAACAATATTTGGAATATGAAAATATCCCCACAATTCTTCACAATTGTTTCCAACAACTGAAATATGGAAACTCTAATGAGTAATCATTCTATTCACAGATATAATTGCACCCCAAACAGTTAGGCATATTCCACTGGAGTCCAGAGAGATTGGAGAACGTGCTCCATAGATCAGTAGCTAGCTTTCACTGAGGGGGCAGGTGACTGATTGTCTATTCTTTCTTTTCACACATAAAGCATCTCTTACGTTGTTGTATCACCTTCATAACCTGGAGTAACACTACTCCTAAGGATGCTATTGGCACCTCATTTGCCTCACAAAGAGTTAGCTCAATATCTGGCTAAGATCATGTGAGATATGCAGGTTTGAGGAATCCTTACGTTTCTAAAAAGTTAAACCATTCCAGCTCAAAGCCTTCTTGATCATTATGCTGAAGCTTTTCATCACGAACAGGAGAAGCAGAGGAGATATCAGAACTTTCCCTCCCCCTCTCCCCCCTCCCACCCCCAAGTCCCTCTGGTGAAACCATTTTGGTCCTCAGACACCAAGCTGTCTATGCCAATTGGCAACACAACACTTGCCTTCCATGTGACCTCTAAGCATCTCATGCTCCTCCTAGGATGACTTGAACATGGGCAGTATACTTGTCCACTCTGATCCTTGTCCTAGTTGTTTCATTTGTTTGACTACCAGACACATATGCATCCTAAGACAACACCTCTTCAGTAATATATAGGGTACAATTAATGTTCTAGGATTTTAAGTTTTTCCAAAGGAAATATAGAAACTGGGAAAATAACAGATTATAAAGCCTACGCCACTAAAGTAAGGTATACATATGTCCATATTGATCGACAATAAAGTACTAAGATTTGCATGCATACACTTTAGCTTTCAATGTGGATCTAATTAGTGCAACTAAATGCGCTAATCAGATGAGTCCAATATGAACATCATAAAGAGTTTAACAAATTAAAAGCAAACATGATAAAGTTCCAAACCTTAATGAGTTCTTTTCCTTTTCATTTGTGTAGAATTATCTAACTCCTCAAAATCACCATCCTTCTCCTTCATAATGTCAACAAAGTCACGAGGTTGAACTTTTCGTACAACATGTCATCCTTTATTGGAAAGATCATCAGCATAAAATACTTGTGATGCTTGGTTGGCTAATACAAAAGGCTCATTTGTTTTCAGAAAGCGTTGGCAGTTAACACTTACAATGCCATATCATCTACTTTAACTCCCTTTTCTTGGTCATATATATCAAGCCACTTACATCGAAACAAAACCACTCTTCCGCTTCCAACAAATTGTAACTCAAGAATCTCGGTTAGTTCTCCATAGTAATCAATATTTTTATTCTCTTCATCTGTCTCACCAACTACAACCACCCCACAATTCTGAGTTCTTAAACCTTTATCATAGTCTTGCACATGAAACCTATATCCATTAACAACGTAGTCATGGAAACTTGTTACATATGGCGTAGGACCACGTGACAATGAGACCAAATCTGTCATTTTCTTACTATCACCGTGTTTGTGCAGACCTGCAACCTATCATGAACAAGTACATAATTTAGAAAATATTATTTGCATACTTGGTTTGAAAACTAATAATTTCTTATTAGTACTCACCTTTTCTTTTAACCAACTAATGAATTGCCGATCCGAAGTTTCTTGAGAGTTATTAGCTGGAGTTTGTGAAAACTCTCTACAAAAATTGAAGAATAATATGTCATTTTAAATAAAAAAGTTAGAGAATGTATAAGTAAATTATTGGATTAAATTATTGCTTACTCGAGAAATGATTGAACTAAAATATGTGCTTGCTCGAATTCATATGAATCAAATCTGCATGGTTTGCCACCTCTTAAAGCTCTTCCAGATTCACAAAAAAATTGTAAAACCTCCATCACATTCTACAACACCACCATCACAATTCCGTTCAAGGAGATTAAATTTTGTTTCCATTGTATGCAAATACCTTGAACATAAGGTCAAACATTCAGTTGCTAAATACCCTTATGCAATAGAACCTTCTGGCAAGCCCTATTACCAACTAAAGACTTCATAAAGTATATGTATCGCTCCATTGGATACATATGCCGATATTGAGTAGGTCCAGCAATCTTAGCTTCATTAGCTAAATGAATTGGCAAGTGCTCCATGACATCAAAAAAAGTAGGAGGGAATACCTTTTCTAACTTGCACTCAGTTTTCGGAATTTGGCCATCAATTTGTTCTAATTCTTCCATGCTTAAACATTTCGCTCCAAGAATGTTGAAAAATAAAGACAACTCAATAAGTGGTTCACTCACAGATTTGCAAAGCATTCCACGTATCGCAAGTAGGAGTAAATATTGCAGAATAATATGGCAATCATAACTTTTTAAGCCTGAAATTTTACGATCCTTAAGGTTGGCACACTGAGAAATGTTTGATGAAAATCCATCCGGGACCTTCAGATTTTTTAAGAAATCGCAAAACTTGTACTTCTCTTCAGGAGATAATGTGTAACATGTTGTTGGTAAGTCATATTTATCCCCATTTTTTATTGGATGCAATTCTTTCCTTATATTCATCGCTTGCAAATCTAGCCGAGTTTTTATGGTGTCTTTGGTTTTTCCTTTAATATTCAAGAGTGTCCCCAAAATAATATCACATATGTTCTTCTCAATATGCATCACATCTAAATTATGACACAACAATAGAGTTTTCCAATATGGAAGATCAAAGAAAATACTCTTCTTATTCCAATTATCACCCCTGCTCTCGTGTGATATTTTAATCTTCTTCTTTGGATCCTTTGTTAGTTGTAACCCATCTAAATCAGTTACTTGACCAATTATATCTTCGCCAGATAATATTTTTGGTGGTAATCGTCGCTCCTTAGTGCCATCAAATGACTCTTTATCATTCCTCCATTTATGATCAAGAGGAAGAAAGCGTTTATGGCCCATATAACACTGTTTTTACCATTTTCTAACCTAATTGAGGAAGTTTCTTTATTGCAACAAGGGCAAGACAATTTACCTTTTGTACTCCATCCGGACAAATTCGCATATGCTGGAAAATTATTAATGGTCCATAGCAAAGCAGCATGTAACATAAAGTTCTTTCTAGCCGACACATCAAAGGACTCCACTCCAGTTTCCCATAATTCCTTTAATTCTTCAATCAAAGGTTGGAGATAAACATCAATAGCATCTCCCGGACTCTCAGGACCAGGGATAAGCATCGACAAAATAAAATTCTCTTTCTTCATGCATAGCCAAGGTGGTAAATTATAAGGAATAAGTACCACAGGCCAAATGCTATATGGAGTTTTGGAATTTCCAAATGGTTGAAAACCATCTGTAGCAAGTCCTAGTCGAACATTACGAGGCTCAACAACAAACGATTGGTGAAGTTCATCAAACGTTTTCCATGCTATTGAATCAGTTGGGTGCCTTATAATACCATCATCAAATCTTTTACCATGATGATGTAACGACCCGGCCCGTCGTCTCATGAGTTACCGCTCCGTTTTCCCCATTTTCAGCTTCCTTATGTTTCATTATCCATATCTTGTGTAATCGAGTTGATTTGAAGTGATTTTAATAAGAAATAAGACATTTAGTCTCTTTTAAGAAGACTTAAGTTGGAGAAATCAACCGGATATTGACTTATGTGTTAGAGGGTTCGGATGTGAGTTCCGATGGTTCGGTTAGCTTCGGGAGGTGATTTGTGACTTAGGAGGGTGATCAAACGTGGTTTTGGAGGTACGGTGTAGAATTAGGCTTGAATTGGCGAAGTTAATATTTTGGCGAATTCCGGNTTCGTTATGTCATTTTGGACTTGTCTGCAAAATTTGATGTCATTCGGACGTGGTTTGGTTGGGTTTTTGATCAAAAATGGAATTTGGAAGTTCTTGAGATTCATAGGCTTGAATTCGATGTGATTTGATGATTTTTGGTGTTAGTCGAGGTGTTTTGATGATTGGAACGAGATTGAATAATGTTTAGGATGCGTTAGTACTTTTGGTTGAGGTCCCGGGGACCCCGGGTATGTTTCAGGTGGTTTTGAGCGAGTACAGACACCCCGGAACTTAGAAAAATGGAGGGAGCAGCAGTTGTGGCGCGGACCGCGCTCCTTTTCGCGCTGGGCGCGCTGACCGCGTCAAAATGGCCGCGGCCGCGGTCACTGAAGACTGCAGGTTGCTGGTTCTACTTCGAAAGCTCATATCTTTTGATCCACAAGGAATTTTGAGGTGATTCAAAAGCGAAAGTTGTAGCCCTTCGTGTCTAGTTTCCAGAAAGGTAAAGATATTGCAATTTGGACACCTGTAAAGAAAGTTATGGCTAAAATACTGAAGCCTATCAATGCAGTCAAAAAGCTGCGCGGCCGCAGTCATTTTTGCGCGGACCCTGCTGATTTTGCGCGGACCGCGGTCATTTGTATGCGGTCAGCGGTGTCGGAATCCGAAGGGTACTATATAAATACGAGGTTTTGAGTTTTATTTAATGTTTTGACCTAGAGAGCTCGGATTTTGGTGATTTTTCGAAGGTTTTTCAAGGAACTCATCGGGGTAAGTGATTTTAACTCAGATTTGGCTAGAATACATGAATCTATCACTGAATTCATCATTTAATTCGTGATTTGAGATGGAATTTGGGAAGAAAATTGTGAAACCTTTCAAAAGTGTAAAATGATGATTTGAAGGACCAAATGGTA